GCCACCAGCTCTTCCACATTTTCACCTTCCTCAGTATCTATGACCAAGTGTACTACGTGGAAGAGGGCCTGCGCCAGTTCCTCCAGGCGCCCCCTGCGGCGCCCACCTTCTCTGGCACGGTTGGCTACATGCTGCTACTGGTGGTTTGCCTGGGACTGGTTATCAGGAAGTTCCTGAAGAACGCCGAATTCAGCAGCAAAAAGTGAGCCTCCGCCCCCCAGAGGAGGCTACGGTTTGCCCACCTGTTTGCGTGGAGTTTGTGTTGTTGTTATTGTTGGTTTGTTTTCCGGTTTTGTTGTTTCCTTCTTTGCTAGAGGAGGGTGCTGCAGATCCCAAGGGAAAGGTCCTGCTGCTAGTTGGGGATCCCAAGTCCACTGGCCTTTGGAAGAGGGAGATGAGGATGAAGCAGAAGGAAGAGGGCCTCTGGGGAGAAAATTAGGTATTGTCTGTGATACCCAGGGATTCTGCAAAGACAACGACGATTGTCCGTGATTATCGATAGAATGCCAAGCATTTGGCTTGTGTGACAGTCTTCTGTGTCCCTTAGTGAAGGCAGGTATGCAGTGAAGAGGATAAACACAAATCCCTGGCTGCTTCCACTGCAGTCTAGAGATGCTTGGATTTGTCAAAAGAATGGAGCTCTCTTTGTTGGGAAATGGGCACAAGGACACCAACCCAGGGCTTAACCCGCTAGACAATGCATGGAATGTGAACACAAGTTAATTATTTCAAAATGTGTATCAGATGTTATTTAAGTGATAATATATACAATGATTTTTTTTTGTTGTTGTCATAATTTATCAAAGCCTGTGAGATGCACTGACTTTTCTTTGTCACATAGTTTTGGTTTCGCAGCCTTCTGCATTGCACACGTGAACTGGACATTAGGGCAAGCAGCTTGAGAGTTCTCCACTACATTCTTAAACAGTGTTTTCTGAAGGCCTATGAGTGTCTTGATAAAACTGTGAATGACTACCTAGGGACTGATTAGACTATTGGTGAGGCCCCAATGGTATGGCTAGGTCTCCAGTTCCTACTGACTCTAATGTATTCCACAAAGCCCACCCTGGGTTTTTGTTTGTCTTGTTTTTTGTTTGTGTTTTTTTTTTAAATCCGATTCTTTCCTCTCTTACTTAAGTTGCCACTAAAATAAATGTGCCTTTTGAAGCAATGCCCAAATGACTGGTCCTCAAACACAGCTTCTTGTATTGGGAGGATAGCATATTCTTTTCGTACTTTGCTGCAAATCGTGCTTGAACAGAAAGGAGGGATGATGGGGTTGGGTTTAGGTTTGTAGTGGGACCAGAAGTAGCTTAGAGGTGTACAGAATGTTTGGCTTCTGCAAGAGCCGGCCCTCTAATGTGTCTGAGGGTCCCAGTACAACCACAGTGGGTGGGAGAGGACAGTGATGAGAGGATCCTTGCACTTCTCTCCCGAAAGTCAGGAGCATGCTGCTTATTACTGAAAACTTTTGAGTTAACTGAAACCACAATCAGCCAGTTAAACATCAAAGTCTCATCTGAATCCAGGCTGTAGAAATGATTGGTAGTCATCCTAAATCCCTGAAGGGTTACGAAACATGGTCCCAGATTCTTTCTAACGACCCAATTGGCCAGTGTTGTTAGACATTTCTTATGAACGTTAACCTGTCATTTAAAATGACAATTCTTTAACAGTAGTGCATTTAAATAAGCATCACACGTCTTGGGAAGTGCTTCTGGCTAAGAGGCAACTACACCGGTGAATGGGGAGTCTTGGCTTCCTGATGTAATTTAAGACAAGCACATGGTTTTATGAACACTTACCTCAGTCCTGGTAGGATGGTGCTCCTGAAAAGATTGGCGTTTTGTTTGTTGCTCTCAATTGCTACTGCATTTGTAAATAGAGAATCTCGGCACAATTCCCTGGAGGAACCAATGTCCTGTGTGTTTTCAGTTGTATATAGGAGTTAAATTGTGTGTGTGTGTGTGAGAGAGAGAGAGTGTGTGTGTGTTGGGATTTTAAAACATACTTTGCACAACCCCTGATGAATGTCAATGTCTCATCCTTTGCAAAAGGCAAGGAGATCTCTGTTAGGTTCCAGAGGTTGGTGGTGTGTGCTGACCGCAGACACTGCTCCTCAGCGAAACTTAACTCAGCACTTTTGTTCAAGGATAACTGTGGAAATGAGGACATATCCACATACGCCTACTTGCATGTCACTGCTGCTGCTTGTAGGGAAGAATGTTCATTTTTAAACCAGGGAAACAAGTTGAGGAATATTTTGTAGGGTTGGTGTTTGTTTGTTTGTTTGTTTGTTGAATTGGGACCCCCTTTGGAAGAAATTCTCAAGAGAGACACATCCGAAAGAATCAACGAACATAAGAGCAGGAACTAAAACCCAGAAATTGTCATTTTAGGTTTTTGCTGGAGATCTCCCGGGTCCCCTCTTGCTGTGTGTCTTTGTCTTTAAGCAGAGGCCACTTGAGGATAAAATCACACCCGTATCATTTTCAGGTGACTATGGTGCATGAGCCAGTGAGATGACCCGCTTTCCCAGGAAAGGTCTCCCCACCCCGTATGCTCCAGGGAGAAGGAGGATTCGCCTCCCCTCTCCTCCTGCCATTTCCTTTTATTAAGTTCCTTTTCTCCTTTCTAGGTGCCACGAGCACTGGCAGTGGGACATCCTACTTGATGACACGTGCCAGCTCCCCTTCCTGTTTGCAAACACACTACATACACCACTCAAGACCAGGGACGCTCTCACTACGTGTTCCTGGCTGGATTATATTGTGTCTGTTAAGACTGATAATGCTGTTTTAGGGCAAATATTTACTCAGTCTCTATTTGCATGGAGCTAACCAGGCTGATTCCACATTTCAGGAGTAATGTAGCCATCAGAATAAAACTCTTTAAAAAAATAACTTTTTCACATTCTCCATCTTGCCACATCTGTTGGAGTCAGTTCGAAATATATGACAAATGATAAATAAGAATCTACTATCTTCACACAACCTATGTGGCAGTAAAATTTTGAAGCGTATTATGAAACCCATTTTCTTGTTAGTCATAATCTAGGCAGCCTCTCCAAGAGCAGACCCTTGGAGTCGTGTCTGGGAGATGACTGATTTCTGTGCCTCTTGGCTCCTGGGGCTAAGGCTCAGGTTTAGTTGGCTAAAGGAGACCCTTTTTTTTCTCCCCTCCTTGCCACTCAGGTGAAGAAGATGACCTTCCCAGAGAGAGGAAGTACAAACTCCTTCATGTCATGACTGGCTTGTAAAAATAAACATGATCTTTTTTTCCACTGGCCATACACGTTCCATAAATAGCCCAGGGAGAAAGTATGGGGCTACATAACTGTTCAGAGTGGCCTTCACCTGCTTCCATTCATAAACCCCGCCTGTAAGTGCTTGCAGTCAGAAACCGCTTAGCCTAATCCATCATGCTACTTTACGTGGGAACCATTGCTAAGAAGGTAAAGTTGGCAAGTTTTTCTGATTTGGTGATTTTCTGAATCTGAGGGCTCAACAACAGTAAGCCAGGATTTTTCATCTTCCACTCTCCCAGCTACCTAATCTGCACAAAGCTATAGTAGACAGGTATGGTCAAAATTACCTTTCAGGGGTTTTACCATTGGCTGAAGGTGACAGAATTCAGTCCTCAAATTGATATGAGAAGGCTCAGTTGTGTCTGTTAGACTTCAGGACTATATGTTACACGGTCAGACTTGCGGATGCCAATTGGATATATTGTGTCTAATCTTGGGTAAATATATTTACTTAATTGAATATATATTTGATTTTGAAAAGGAACAAAATAAGAGATGGCTATCTTTAAAATTCAATTACAAAAATCTTAAAATGTGACCAGCCACTGAAATGGTTTTCACCATCTCCTTCTTCATCTGTTAAGTTTGCCATTTCTGACTGACTCTGAAGCATCTTTGGCTGATGTCCATCCAGTCTTCGTGCAGTCTCCCTAGTGACTTCTGAACATCTACTAAGTGTAAAACATTAAGCAAGGATCCATGCATCCATCCACATAACTGATTACTTTTTTGTCTTACAGCAGAGCAGAGCAGTTTGGGTCTTTTCTCCTATTGGTATAAGATCAATGTGTTGGAATCCTGTTTTAATTAACATAGTCATTTATCTGCAGCTTTTTACTTTTTTCTCTTTCTTAGCCAAAAAAAAAAAAAAAAAAAAA